GAGAAGGAACAATGTGCGTTCTTACATATTCTTCCTTCTAAAGTGAAGGACAGAGAACCCTGGGGACTTAGTGCCTGTGAGGCCACCCCTGGCAGAGTTATCCCAACACTGTAGTTCAGCTGGGTTTCTGGGTGACAGATGTGACCTTGGAGAGGCCATTGATGTGGGAGCTATCCATGACTTTGCCTTTATAATCAGTTACTTAAAAGTAGAAGTCTTTTTTTAAGGAAAGGGGCTGGACAGATGGCTGAGCAGTTAAGAGTGTATACCACTCTTGCAGCGGAAGGACCAAGTTCAGTTCCCAGCATCCACACTAGGTGGCCCACGACTGCCTTAATTAACTGCAGCTCCACGGGAATGTGCCGTCTCCAAGTCACTTGGATGCATGTTTGCCTATGTGCAGATACACACACATAAGTAAAAATAAAACAAATGGCCTGGTGTGGCCATTTTAACCCTACTCTTTAATCTCAGTACTCAGAAGGCAGAGTCAGGCAGACCTCTGTGAGTACTGGGCTAGCTTAGTCTATATAGGCAGTGCTGGGCCAGCCAGGCTACATAGTAAGACTCTGTCTCAAACAAATCTTTATAATCAGTGCTTTCAACAGATGCTCAAGGACCCTTCCTCTCCTCTCTCTTCCCTTCCTTCCTTCCTTCCCTCCTTTCTTCCTTCCTTCATTCCTTCCTTCCTTCCTTTCTTTTTGAGATAAGGTTTTATGTAGCCCAGGCTAGCCTTTATCTTACTGTGTATCTGAGAAGTGCTGTGAACTCCAAATCTTCCTACCTCCACTTTTCAAGTTCTGGGATCATGCGTGCAACACCACACCCCCAAGGTCTCTCTTCCTAAGCTGCTGCCCGCCTGTCTGCATATAAGAATGCTACGGAGTGAACACTGCCCCTCCCCCATGCCAACTCCCAATCTCTGGAATTTGTAGTTGTTACGTTATTGGGGGAAAGGTCTTCACAAGCGTGATTCAATCAATGGTCTTGAGACGGGGGTTTACTGCGGATTGTCTGGAAGGTCCCCAAATACAGTCACAGTGCTTACAGAGGAGAAGCAGAGAGAGATTGGCCATAGATACACTGAGAAGCAGACATGAAGATGGGGACCAAGATGGAGGGACGTGACTAAAAGTTCAAGGTTGCTGGGTAGCACCTGGAAGGAAGAGGGAAGGATTGCCCCTTTGAGCTTCCCACAAAGCAGCCATCTTGTCTCCAGGACTGTAGAAGGAAAAAGAGTGTTTTAGGCCACTGGTAATATATCATACCCGCTGAAGGAGACCAACACACAGGGGAGATACGTACATGGTCCTACTGGGCTAGGGAGGGGACCCAGTTGTCCCCGTCCAGGTGCATCACCGATGAGGCTGACTTTCCGCTCTCATGACGAGCAGCGCCAGAGAACCCTGAGCTTGCACTGATATTTCCTTATCGAACACGGTACTGTCTTAAAGGCTAGGGCTTTCCCCAAGCTTGGTGAGAATTATATAGGTATGAATTCAGGTGTCAGGAGATGCTTCTAAAAGATAAGCCCATTAGTCAGGAGAGAATTAGATTCATGAGTCACAAAACAGAGGCCAAGAGAAGTACACTGTCAGCTGAAGCAGCATCTAAGACCGAAGCCAGAGAGAGACCGGGTAGAAAGCCTGTCTTGCTTCGGTCCCCAGGACTCAGGTTCAAAAACAAAAACCAGGCATGGTAGCACATGCTTGCAATCCCAGTTCTCAGGGAGGCAGAGTCAAGTGGACCCCTGGGATTCACTGGCCAGTCAGCCTACTGAAATTAGGAAGTTCCAGACCAGGAAAAGAATGGTAGTGGGGTCTGGTGGCACAGGTCTTTAATCTCAGCACTTGGGAGGCAGAGACAGGTGAATTTCTGTGAGTTTGAAGCCAGCTACACTCACTTTGTAGAGTTCCAGGACAGCCAGGGACGTTACACAGAGAAACCCTGTCTTGAAACAAACAAACAAAGAACAGGAGTAGATGGAGCTGGAGAGGTGGCTCAGTGGTGAAGGGCACTGGCTGCTCTTCCAAGGGACTGGGGTTTGATTCCCAGCACCCACACAAAGCTCACAACGCTGATTCCCAGCACCCACACACAGCTCACAACGCTCTATCACTCTAGTCCCAGGGGATCCCGTACCCTCCACTGGCATAAATGTGATGCATAGACAGACAGACAGACAAAATACCCATATACACAAAATAAATAAGTTTAAAAAATAACTTAAAAAACAGAATAGTAAAGGTTGTCTAATTTGGTTGAACTGATTGAGCAGCAAGTCCCAGGATCCTGCTGTACCCAACCCAATGCTGGGATCACAGATACACCACCACACTTGACTCTGAGATCACAGATGTGCACACCACACACGACTCTTGGATCACAGATGTGCACACCCCACTTGACTCTGGTATCAGAGATATACACACCACACGCAACTCTGGGATTACAGATGTACACACCACACACGACTCTGGGATCACAGATGTACACCACACGCGACTCTGGGATCACAGATGTACACCACACGTGACTCTGGGATCACAGATGTACACCACACGCGACTCTGGGATCACAGATGTACACACCACACGCGACTCTGGGATCACAGACGTTCACACTTCATGCGACTCTGGGATCACAGGTGTACACCACTCGACTCTGGAATCACAGATGCACACCACGCTCGACTCTGGAATCACAGATGCATACTATGCTCGACTCTGGAATCACAGATGCACACCACGCTTGACTCTAGAATCACAGATGTACATCACACTCAACTCTGGGATCACAGGTGTACACCACTCGACTCTGGGATCACAGGTGTACACCACTCGACTCTGGGATCACAGATGCACACCACACTCGACTCTGGGATCACAGATGTACATACCACTCAACTCTGGGATCACAGGTGTACACCACTCGACTCTGGGATCACAGATGTACACCACGCTCGACTCTGGGATCACAGGTGTACACCACCCAACTCTGGGAACACAGATGTACACCACTCGACTCTGGAATCACAGATGCACACCACGCTCGACTCTGGAATCACAGATGCACACCACGCTCGACTCTGGGATCACAGGTGTACACCACTGGACTCTGGGATCACAGATGCACACCATACTTGACTCTGGGATCACAGGTGTACACCACTCGACTCTGGGATCACAGGTGTACACCACACTCAACTCTGGGATCACAGATGTACACCACTCGACTCTGAAAGGTCACTGTAAACACTCCCCCTCCAATTACTTTGTCCAACAAAAAGCAGGAAGCAGTTTGGAGAGAACTATGCCCAAATTTCCAAATATTGTTCATTTAAAGGGGATATGCTATAGAGATTTGCATTGGTATGGATCTTGGCTTACTGATACAAATTTAAGGTCAATTTTGTTTTATATATATATATATATTTCAGATTTTGATTATGATATTGTGTTTATGCATCTCATTTAAAAATGTAATATATAATTAAGAAATATAGGTTAATAGATAATCATCTATAATAGTCAAGCTTGTAGTCATGTTAGTTAGGTTTTCTAGATATATAGAGATATATTTCATTAGATAGGTATTCTTCAAATCTTTTAAAGACCTTTAGAATATGGCATTTAAAATGTTTTAAGAACTTAGACTTTTCTTTCTTTTTTAAGATTTATTTATTTATTATTTATACAGTGTTCTGTCTGTATGTATGCTGCGGGCCAGAAGAGGGCGCCAGATCTCATTACAGATGGTTGCAAGCCACCATGTGGTTGCTGGGAACTGAACTTGGAACCTCTGGAAGAGCAGTCAGTACTCTTAACCTCTGAGCTATCTTTCCAGCCCCAAGAACTTAGACTTTTCATGACAATAAGACACATCTGCTCCTGGCAGCACCTTCAAAAGGATGATGGGCATTGAAGAGGCTCCTCATGGAGTTTATTAGCCCTTTGGGCAAGAAACTGCTCTTGTCTGAACTGTTTGACTGGACTTGCAGGACTCATAGAAAAATTACAGCTGAAGCAGCCTTAAAAAGATGAGACAGTTCTTCAGGGTTCCTGCTTCATGGAAGAGTCTGCCAGACATTCTGCAGGACACAGAAGAAAGTGACTGACAAACTGCCAATATCGGTGGAACTATCTTTGAAATTTCCTGCTTCATGAAAAAGTTTGCTGGATACTATGGACCAGTAGGCTGAAGATGGGTGCCCCACTGTTACAGAAGAACTTTGGGTGACTGTCCAGGCAGTGAGATGTCTCTGTCAATTCTAGAGTTTTGGAAGTTGCTTATAATGCACTTCCTGTTTACTTAGGTAATATTATATCCTTCTGGGGTCTTTGATGGAGTTGAAGAATAGATAGTTATAGTTCTCCTTAGTTATGATAAAAGATAAAGTAGATATAAATATTGTAACTATATTTCTTGCTTCATACCTGTTTTGTTATATATAATCTTGCTATGTTCAAGTTAAAACCTTCCTCTTTCTTTAGACAGAAAATGGGAGGTGATGTATGCTGTGAATATGTTTTATTGCCAGTGGTTAATAAAGAAGCTGCTTTCAGCCAATGGCTTAGAAGGGTAAAGCCAGGTTGAAAGAGATATAGAGAAGGTAGGCAGAGTCAAGGAGAAGACACGTAGCCCCGCCAGAGACAGACTCCGCCAGATGGAACTTTACCCAGTAAGTCACAGACATGTGGCAATACACAGATGAATAGAAATGGGTTAATTTAAGATATAATAGTTAGCCAGAAATATGCTTAAGCTATAGGTCAAATAGTATTGCAAATAATATAGTTTCTGAGTGATTATTTCATGGTCTGGGCATGCTGGAACGAACAAGCAGCCTCTGCCAACAAAGGCTCAGGGCTCTTTCACTTTCACAGGTTCTATGTGAAGCATCCTTCTGACGACCCCCTACGCCGCTCACCCCCGACATCCATCACCGTCCTGAGGAGTGTGATGACCCCTGTTTGTCTCTGCCCCAGATCCGAGGAGAAAAGAAGCATGAGAGGAAAGAGCCCCTGGGGGCGGGGCAGGACTATAAAAAACCAGATTGACTTAAGACATCGGCAGACATGCAGCAGCAGGCAGAGGAGAGCGGGCAGCTGTGACAACCTCAGAACAAAGGCTCTGCTCAGGTACCTGCTAAGGAGCATCCTGGGGCTGGGGCGCCAAGGCGGTTCAGGGGTGCTTTCATTTCCTCACAGAGAGGTTAGGAGAAGGCCAACATTTGCCAGATAATTTTTTCTTAAAAAGAATGTCTCCAAAGCCTGAGCTTGGGTATGTCTTGCTGGCTGACAGGACGGGCCTGCCCCTTGCTTTCTCCAGAACACAGAGGGAGGGAAAGCTTCGCAGGAGAGGAAACTAAACAAGACAGCTCTCCTGGGGACCAGCCCTTTACCTCGATTCCTTTCCGTCACACCGTTTTGTATGTCTCTCAGTGAAGTTTCAGAATTTGTGTGTGTGTGGGGGGGGGTGTTGAGGATGGTGTTGTGCATGCTAAGCATGTGTTCTACCAGTGAGAGACACCTCCAGGCCCCATAAGTTTTTATTCTCTATTATTTCATTTTTTGTGTGTACATATGCATGCACGCGTGTCTGTACAGGTCCGGGGTCAACCTTGGTGCCGTTCTTCAGGTGCTCTCTGCTGTGCTTCTTGAGACAGAGTCTCTCATCTTCGTGCTCACCAAGCAGGCTGGGTTGGCCAGAGCCCCAGAGAGCTGCCTGTCTCTGCCTCCAGCACAGGGATTGCAGGAACACGCCACCGCACGTGAGTTTTGGGGCTTGAATTGAGGTCTCCATCCTTGCTCGACAAACATCTTACTGAGCTATTTCTTCCTAGGCCCTAGTTTTTGATATGACAGGATGATATAGCCTTTCTGACATGACTGGATGAGATATAGTCTTTATCAGGTTTACTTTCTGGAAAACCTGATGCTTTTCATTTTTAGTGTAGCTGGTTCATTTTTTCTATTGCATTTTAATTTTTTTCTGGGGGTTATAGAAGCAATGAAAGAATATCATGAATTCATGAATATTATGGGATATATCTAAAGCAAAATATGAGACATCCTTTATGTAACTTGTGAATTAATACATAAATATTGTATTTTGCTTGTTTGCGAAAGGGTTCCTCTGTGTAGTGCTGGCTGTCCTGGAACTCTTTAGACCAGGCTAGCCTTGAATTCAGAGATCCACCTGCTTCTGCCTCCTAAATGCTGGGATTATAGACATGTACCACTATATCCTACCTGTATACTGTTTATGGATACATAAAATAAAAGAGAAGCTAGGCATAGTGGCACACGCCTTCAATCCCAACACTTGGGAAGCAGAGGCAGGTGGATCTTTGTGAGTTTGAGGCCAGCCTTACAACACAGTAAGTTCTAGGGCAGCCAGTGCTACATAGTGAGACTCTATCTCAAAAATATAAAAATTAATTAATTAAAATAAGGAAGGAGGGAGGGAGAGATAGGGAGGGATATAGGAGCCAAGTAAGGTGGTACATGACACAGATCTATACCAGCACCAGGGGGCTGAGGCAGGAGGCCAGCCTGGGCTAAGTAGTAGGTTCCCAAACTGCCTACCCTGTATAAAGGAAGCAAGGTCTAGGGAGAATACACCATGGTGGTAGAGCATGTGTGCCCATTAACACCCTGATATTGAGCCCCACGGGGCGAGGGGAGGGGCTTAAGGGCGCCAGTGTGTCCATGCAATCCTCAGCATCTCTCATACTCCTTTGGCCAGCCTCCTGCCTCAATGGATTACACGTTGGAGCCCAATGTGACGATGACGGACTACTACCCTGACTTCGCCCAGCCCTGTGACACGGAGCTCATCCTCAGGGGCAGCAGGTTGCCACTTGCCCTCTTCTACTGCATCTTGTTTGTACTGGGCCTTCTGGGAAACAGCCTGGTCATCCTGGTCCTTGTGGCCTGCAAGAAGCTGAGGAGTATCACGGACATCTACCTCCTGAACCTGGCCGTTTCCGACCTGCTCTTTGTCTTCTCGTTCCCGTTTCAGACTCACTACCTGCTGGACCAGTGGGTGTTTGGGACAGTCATGTGTAAAGTGGTCTCCGGCTTTTATTATATGGGCTTTTTCAGCAGCATGTTCTTCATCACCCTCATGAGCGTGGACAGGTACCTGGCTATTGTCCACGCTGTCTATGCCATCAAAGTGAGGACGGCCCAAGTGGGCACAGCCCTGAGCCTGGCGGTGTGGCTGACGGCCGTCGCGGCCACCATCCCGCTGCTGGTGTTTTATCAAGTGGCCGCCGAGGATGGTATTCTACAATGCTTCCCGTTTTATGACAATCAGTCTTTGAAGTGGAAGCTCTCTGCTCACTTTGAAGTGAACACCTTGGGCCTGCTGCTCCCCTTCACCATCCTTCTCTTCTGCTACATCAGGATCCTGCAGCAGCTGCGGGGCTGCCAGAACCACAGCCGAACCAGGGCCGTCATGCTGGTGCTCACTGTAGTCATCGCATCTTTGCTCTTCTGGGTCCCCTTCAACGTGGTCCTCTTCCTCACGTCCCTGCACGACATGCAAGTCTTGGATGGCTGTGCCATGAGCCAGAAGCTGGCTCTGGCTACCCACGTCACAGAGGTCATCTCTTTCACACACTGCTGCGTGAACCCTGTCATCTATGCCTTCATAGGCGAGAAGTTCAAGAACTACCTCGTGAAGGTGTTTCCAAAAGGTTGCAGCCACCTCTTCTTCTACCTAGGGAAACAGATGCCTGCGGGGGCGTGGGGTACGCACTCTTCCATAGGGAGACAGATGCCTGCGGGGGCGTGGGATACGCGTTCTTCTCACTCCTCCACCCTGGACTACATTTTGTAGGAGGGCATGCACAAGTTGTGCCTCCGCCACTCTCCCCACCCCACCCCCGCTTCCCCTCCTCCCACTTCCCCTGGTTTACCGAGACAGAGTCGCACGCACTTTGTAGCCCAGCCTGGCTTTGAACTCTCAATCCTTCTGTCTCTGCCTGCTAAATGCAAGCACCATCCTTTTTTGTTTGTTTGTTTTTTCGAGACAGGGTTTCTCTGTTTAACAGCGCAGCTGGAACTCGTTTTGTAGACCAGGCTGGCTTCAAACTCTGAGATCCGCCCGCCTCTGCCTCCTGAGTGCTGGGATTAAAGGTGTGGGCCACCACATCAGGCTAACACCTTCTTTCTCTAAAAGAGATAAAATACTTTTTTTTCTTGAAAAAAAGAGACCTCTTAGTTTTGGGATTTTGTGTGTATGTGTGTGTGTGTGTGTGTATTGTGTTCACGAGAGACAATGTTTTATAATTTTTCTCATTCACAATGATCTAACCAGGTTTGATTTCTTAAAACGCATTGAGAAATGTTCCTTTTAAAATCTTTTCTCTGAAATGGTTTGTGTAAAAAATGACTTTAGTTTCTCTTTGAAGGTTTGATACAATTTATTAATAAACCCATCCAAGGTACTCTATAAAGATTTGCATTTAACATACCACACAGAGACATTTAGTGATATGGGATTCCCCTCTGTATTCTGTGAATATGTTTTATTGTCATTAGTTAATAAAGAAACTGCTTTTGTCTATGGCTTTACAGAGTAAAGTCAGGTGAGAAATCCGAACAGAGATGTAGAGTAGTAGGTGGAGTCAGAGAGATGCCGTGGAGCTGCTGCAGGAGACTGACGCCTGATGGAACCTTGCTGGCAGACCACAACCATGTAGTGATACACAGATTTAATAGCAATGGGTTAATTTGAAATATAAGAGTTAGCCGGAAATATGCCTAAGCTATTGTCTAAGCAGTGTTGTAATTGATATAGTTTCTGTGTGCTTAGTTTGGATCTGGGTGGGCGGGAACGAACAAGAAGCCTCTGCCTACAATTCAGCTTTTCTACCTGTTTTTGATTTGTAAGAAATTTTGCTGTTCTTTTGTAAGTTCACAAATACAAGAGCATGAAATCTGCATAATTAATTTTGTTGAACATCTTTTTTAGTGTGAGAATGTCCCTTTCTGGTCCTGATACAGATGGTTTGTGGGTTTGCCTCTCTCCTACATCAGTTTTATGGTATTTATCAGTAGTTTTATCTTTGCAGGTAACCAGCCTTGGCCATGCTGACTTCCTGCTGACTTCTCTGCACATTGATTTCCATCTCATCTCTTTCCTTTGGGCTTTATTTACTATGAGCTCCCTGGAAACAAATCATCTATTATCTAAATATTCACTTAGTGACACAAAGTTCTCTCTGAGCACTGTGTTTTTGGGGGTGCATTTTATGCACTTTAAGTTTGATCCTAGGCAGAAGGTCTGAGAAGCTGTCTTCTGCCTCCATCTTAGCCACTGTTCTGTCGTTGTGAAGAGATACCACACCAAGGCAACTTATAAAAGCAAGTGTTTTATTGGGAGTCGCTTATAGTTTCAGAGGGTTAGTCCATGACCATCATGGACGGGGAGCAGGGTGGCAGGCAGGGAGGCATGGTGCTGGGGAGATCCTGGTCTGCAGGCAGCAAGCAGAAAGAGAGAGAACTGGGCCTGGTGTGGGGTTCTGAAACCTCAGTGACACAACTTCTCCAACAAGATCAACCTCCTAATCCTTTCAAAACAGATCACCAACTGGGGACTAAGTATGCAGTCATATGCGCCTATGGGGGGCATTCTAATTTAAATCATAACATGCAGATAGTATGTACTTAAATCCTTCTCAGAGAACATTGTAACATGAGGGCCGGCTTGTTGGGGTTTCTGTCCCATCCAGTACCCCACAGCCAGCAAGCCCCAGAGAAAATCACACACAGGACTCCATAAGATTATAAACTGATTGGCCCATTAGCTCAAGTCTTCTTATTAACCAATTCTTACATCTACGGTAACCCATAATTCTTGTCTGTGTTAGCCATGTGGCTCAGTACCTTTTCCAGCTGTCAGCTCACATGTTGCTTCTTTGGTGATCTGGGCAGGAGTGGTGGAGAGAGCTTCCTGCTTCCCAGAATTCTCCTGTTCTCTTTGTTCCACCTCTACTTCCTGTCTGGTTTTCCCCCCTACACTTTCTGCCTGGCCAATCAGCATTTATTTAAAATATGATTGACAGAATACAGACAATTCTCCCACACCAGAACATGCACATAGGATTTCATGTCTTTGAAACTCACTGAGAATTATTCTATGATGCTGGGTCCAGCTCTCCTGCACACATGAAGATGACAGGAGCTGACACAGATCAGGGCTTCCGTGTTCTCTCTCCACTTTGTTCTCCCCTTCCTTCTGGTTGCTTTGGAGAACCTTTAAGCTTGCAGGGGTATGGACAAAGGGCTCCTTGCAGGCACATGGACAATGACCAGTGACCACATCAATGAAGAAAATGTCAGTCCACCAAGACTTCTGTATTCTTCGTGTTTTAAAACAATGATGCTTTTTAGAAGTTATTAACAGAGGACAACTCGCAAGAGTTGACACTCTCCTTGAACCACGTGTGTCTCAGGGATTGAATTCTGGCCCCTTCGCCTGTCAAGCTACCCTGACAGGCCTAATTCTTCATGTTTTTTTCTAGTTGTTTAGTTTGTAAGCCACGAGGAGAGGTACATCAGAGCACCCAACTTTAATTATGGCTTATTCATTTTCCATTTTATTTTTACTATATATTTTGAAGCTGTTGTTGGATATCGGCAAATAAAGGACTGCTCTCCTTGAATTTTAATCAAATAGCTTTTGTTTATTTGTTTGAGACAGGGTTTCTCTGTGGCTTTGGAGCCTGTCCTGGAACTCACTCTAGAGTAGACCAGGCTGGCCTCAAACGCACAGAGATCTGCCTGCCTCTGCCTTCTGAGTGCTGGGATTAAAGGCATTCACCACCTCCACCCGACAATAGCTTCTTTTGTTACCATGAAATCCTCTTTCTGCCCAATAATACTTCTTTTTGGGGGTGGTGGGTGTGATAGAGGTCTCTCTACCTAGTTCAGGCTGGCCTGGAACTCACAGAGATTCACCTTCCTCTGCCTCCAGGGCACTGAGATTAAAGGCATTTGAGGTCAGCCGGGGATGAATAAGACACTGTCTTAAAAGTAAAAAAAAAAGGTTGAAAAAAGTAAAAATAATTATTGTTATGATGAGAGGCTGCCGAGCTGGAATCTTAGAGTAGGATGTCACCCGAGTCACAGCTCTCACCGCAGTGCCTGTATTGGCTAGCAAGGCCACCGCCTGTATGGGCTAGCAAGGCAGCCGTTCTCTCACTGCAGTGCCTGTATTGGCTAGCAAGGCTGCCATTCTCCTCACACGGGCTCCTGCTTCTCTGATGGGAACCCCAGTCCTGTGGGAAGGCACCATGCTATGTGTGGCAAGTCAGGTAACTCTGCAGTTTGGGAGCGGGGGTGGGAGGTTCCTTGGACATTTTACCAGGCTGTAAGCTTCTGGCATTTCCCTCTCTGCCCCCACACAGATGCTTCTGGAGCAAGATTCACTCTGGTATCTTGAACCATGCCAAGCTTCCTGAAGGGACATGGCGAAGAACCTGCCCTGGCCCTGCTGTGCCACGTACAAGCCTGAGACAAGCCGCCTGTGTTTCAGGAGGCCATCGTCAGATGGACATGGGGCAAATGGAGACAAGGGACCATCTGTCCTGCCTGCCCACCCAGCTGCCTGAGGTCTTTATGTGACTGGAGGTTCCTTTTGTACAGAAAGGACAGTTCTGACTAGTGTAATAAACTAAGCAGCAAATAGATCTTTTTTAGTTGTAAACTTGACATAACTGATTTAACTGTTTGCTGCTTCCGAATCCTTACACGTTAACAGGAGCTGGAGAAGAACAAGCAGAGGGAGAGGAATTGGTTAGCATAAGGAGGCCGTGCTCTAGCGCCACCTGCTGTCCATGGACTAGCGGTACCACCAGCTGCCAACAGTAGCAATGGATTGGAGTTAATTTCTCTCGGTGTGCATCTCTGTGCCCACATGCCATGTCACTCCTGGAGTGTCAGAGAGCTATGCTCAGCCACCCCCCCCCAAACACGCCAATTAAACGACATAAGCCATGGAGCTGGAGAGATGGTTCAGTGGCTAGAACACAGACTGCTATTCAAGAGGGCCTGAGTTTGGCTCCCAGTGCTCATGTCTGGCAGGTTAGTTTGAAGCTCATAATTGCCTGTAACTCCAGCTAGGGAACTCGATGTCTGAGCACATACTCCATGTACCCAAACACAGCTTTTTTAAAACTGAAAAAAGTCATTGTGAAATGCGGAGGTTTAGTCATTGTGGCCACACTGGGAAGAGGAACAGCAAAGGGGTCCAGTGACCTGAGTCTGACCTGAGACCTGGGTTTAAATAGACAGTATGAGGTATGCAGAGCTAAGCAGTCCTGGTCAGGGTGTGATCCCGCCCACATCACCGTCTGGGCTCCCTCTTTCCTGCAAGGTGATCCAGCAGGCTGCAGAAATGTGTGCCATCTTCCCCTGGAGGCAAGCTCAAGACTCTCCTCTGGCTGGTATCCAGCTTCAGCCTTCCCCTTCTCCCAGTGTGAGATGCCTGGGGAAGCTTTAATTCTTTAGAGTTCATTGTCTCTAACATTTCATCGTCAATTGAGGGACACACATTCTCTCCCATTAGAGCGGTTCTAGTTTGTCAAGAACTTGTCTGTCAAAGCTGAAGAGCTGTCCTAGCCTCATCGGAACATGTTACCTAAGGAACGCATGGAGGATGCTTTGGGAACATCTGGTAACTTACATCTGGTAACTTACATCTGCACACATACGAAGAAGCAAAGCAGTGCAAACCTGTCTGCATGGCAAACCGTGCCTGAGATGGAGTTGGCATCACCTGCCTGCATGCCCTCACCTGCCTGCCTGTTGGATATGAGCCCCAGTTGTTTTGTTCATTGCCCCATTCCAGAGCCCAGGTTTTGTTTATCTGCTCGGTGAATGAGTTAAGAACCAAGGAGACCTGGGGCTGGAGAGGTGGTGACTCAGCAGGTAAGAGGACCCAGGTTCGATACCTAGCACTCACTTGTAACTCCACCTACAGGGGATCCGATGCATACGACATACATAGACACATGAA